GGTCACGCCAGGCCGGACGGCGCACCGGAGCCTGGTCTGGGTGTCGGCCCTGGCCTGTTTTACCCCGACCAGCCCCCTACCGGCCTGCCCCTCGCCCCTGCCCCTGCGCCCGCGCCCGCGCCCACGCCCACGCCCGCGCCTTAGCTTGACCCTGCCGGCCCGCTCATTTTCTCTGTCTGGCTGGCTGGCTGCGCCCGCCCGCCCGCCTTCGCCCGCCCTCGTGGCCTGGTTTGCTTGCTTTTTGCTTTTTGGCAGCGCCCGCCCCTCTATCTTCGATCTGGCTGTTGCGCCCAACCAACACGCGCCGACGCAGCAGGACAGGCTTGCTTGGCCAGGCGGCCTACAGGTGGCGCCAGCCCTGGCTCGCCAGACCCTCTTCCGACCCCATTCCATCTCTTCACCCGCCCCGCCCCTCTTTTCTTGTCGCTGCCCCTCGCCCCTCGCTCCTCGCCCCTCTGTGGTCGAAGGCAAGCAGGCAGGCAGGCAGGCAGGCAGGCAGGGGTAAGGAGGCCAGGCCAGACAGGGCGCCTGCGGTCAGTCGTAGCGGACTCCTGCTGCTTGGCCGGCTGGCTGGCGGCCGGCCTGCCTGCCTGTGCCCAGGAGCATCCAGTTGTCGGTGGCCTTGGCCACGGCCCGGCGGCGGGACCCGTTTCCTGCTGGTCGCCATCCTCAGCACGCCGTCCAGGACGTCGACCCAGGCGTGGAAACCTTGTTTGCCCCGAGCCATGGCAGCAAAGCGGCGAGCGGGCAGCGAGCGATGCCTGCTGCGCTGCTGACCGTCGAGGCGGCAGGCAGGTCTGCTGCTGCTGCTGCTGCTGCTGCTGCTGCTTCCTACCTGGCTGCACGGCAACAACCAGGTAACTAGGCTGGCCTGGAAGCGGTTGCTGCTGCTGCTTGCTCGCTCGCTCGCTCGCTCGCCCGCTCCTCATCTGCTGCGACCTCTCGTCGTCGTCCGGGCTCTTCTTGGGTCCTGAAAGTCAGGTTCGTCGTCGTCGTCGCCTTGCTTCGCCGCCGCCGTCGCCGCCGCCGCCGCCTTCGCCGTCCATGCCGTTGCCGTTGCCACCTTCCAGACGCCCGACCGCCTCTTTGTTGACTGCATCTTGGCTCGCCCCTCTGCCTGCCTGCCGGCCCACCGACTGGCCTGCCCCCACCGGCGCCTCCATCGTCGTCCTGCTTGGTTGACGGCCTGCCTCTTCGTTTGCCTCTCAGACACCACCCGCCTCTTCTTTCCTTTACAACCACTCCATCACGTCGCATCTCGTCGCCTTTCTTCTCCCCCTCGCTCGCCAGCATCGTCGACCGACTGGCCCACCGACCGCACGCACGCCGGGCCCCTGTCTCTGCTACCGTTGCGACCTTTTCGCCTTGCCAGCGATACCCGGCCGGCCAGGCACCTCGTCCGGCCAATCGCTCGCTCAAACACAAAGACTACGTGGGGGGGCATGCACGCCAGCAGGCCTTGACCAAACCCTCTGTATCACCCGTCATCGCCACGAGCAGCAGCATCACCACCTGCTGCCGCCGCCGCCTCTTCCTGCCTTTGACCGACCGACCGACCGACCGATCAACCGCCGTCCAGCGCACATTTGCTCTCGCAGCGGCCAATCTCGTGCCTCCCCACCTCGATCACGTTGGTAGACCGGGCGGACCGACCTCGGACACGGCGAAAGCCCCCTTTCCTCAGGCACGCGGTCAGCTAGCCTGCCGCCTTCCGCCGCCGCCGCTGCTTACACCCTGCCTGTCTCGAGCCGCCACCGCCGTCGGATCTGCCAACCTTTTGCCAGCCTAACCGCCCGCGGACACACAGGCAGACACGCAGACAAAGCTGGCCGGCCCTGATTACTGCTGTGCGTGACCTTTCTCGTCGGCCCTGGGACGGATCAATCAGGCCGATCTTCGTCGTGCCGTTGCAGCGCTAGCCAAGCAAGATCCCCTAGCTCGCCCCTCGATCTGGTCAGCAGCAAGCGCCAGGCACGCCCGGCCTACTTGTACACCAGAGCGTTCCATCTGATATACGGCCAGGGCCATCCGTACACTCGTCCAGCTGCAAGCGGACACGCTCGTCTCATCAGCAGCAGCAAGAACCTTCTGTCCACCTCGTTGCCTCTCAACCCCTCCCCGCTACGTCCACTTCTTCGATCCGTGTCAACGCGACACCTGCCTTCCTGCAAACCTCCCCTCTCCGTGCATCGCCGCCCCCACGGACTGGTCTTGAGATCGCCTCAGACGCCAGGCTCGCCTCGTCCCGCCTCGTCTCGCCATCGTCGTCGGCTTCAACCTCGTGCACCGCCCACGCCCTTGGCCTTCCTGCTTCCCCCTCTTCCTTCGCCTCTCCAATCTCCGGCGCTCGTCAAGCCCTCGAGCCAAGCACGGATCGGCGTTCTTTGTCCCATTCTCACCAGCACCTCTCCAACGCTCGTCGACCGCAAGGCGTTGCCAGCCCGCCCCTTCCATACATCCCCTTTGCCACCGCTGTTGACATATCAACCACCCGCAGGCAACCAACCTCGCCGCTTTGGGTTGCTGCCTTCCCTTCCATCTCCATCTCCACCACTACCTCCTCCTTCATCGACCCTTGCCACCGCCAGAGCAACCATCGCCTAGCCGCTGTAACGACCAGTCAGGCTCCGTAGAGGATCTGCCACGCTCAGCCACCGCTTCCGACACGCGCGCACATACGCAGACACGGACACGCACCGGAGGACAGCGCGTCTTCTCTTCTGTCCGCGCCGGGATCGGGTCGCCATCGTCAGCGTCAATCTTCGGAGTACATTCACGGCGACCGGAGCTATAGGTGCTCAGCGAGCCTGCGAGACGTCTTTCCTCAACTACCACTGCTACAGCTCCTCGGTCAGCTACAGGCTGCTAGCTCCCGGTCACGGACAGGTTGTGCACCAGCAGACAGAGGTACACGCTCTACGCCGTCGCGACTCTATCACTGACGACCCAGTCGTTTCTCGCCACGCAACCTGCGTCAAGACCTCCCAGGGGTCAGCAGCTCGGCGACGCGAACACGCAGCGACCCAGGGAAGTCTTTTTCGCCTCCCGGTCGTAGAACTGCAAAGACCGCTCCGAGGAATCGAAAGCAAGAGGCAGAGAGAGGTGGTGCAGCAGCAGCGGCACAGGAGGAACGAACATTGCTCGAGGCTGGCGACCGCGCAGAAGTCTTTGCTGCGAGACCTCTGCGGGCTGCTTGATCGGCCGATCCGCGACTCCAGCCCATGTCCCAACAACCGCCCTACCAAGGCCCTCCAAACCCAAACTCTCGAGCTGCCGGACAGCCCTACGACTACTCTCAGCCGCCCCGTCCGTCGTCGCAGACCCTCGAGGACAGCAGGATGGACTTTGGAAGCTACGCTTCGTCGTCTTCGGGGAGCGACTTTCGGTACGCGTCGTCGCACCACCGGCCGGACGCGCTGCCCTCGCTCCAGCCTCCCTCGACAGGATCCTCGCAAATGTCGCTGCTGTTTGGGTCCAACGCCACGACGCCGAGGCAGTCGGCCTTTACGCGCGAGCAGATCGACCGGCCGCCGCAGCTCTCGCTCGCCATGTCGCAGTACGGATCCGCCTCGGGCGCGGCCAACCAGACGTCGTCGTCGTCGAGCGCCATGCCGATGCGCATGTCGTACTTTGACGGGGGCGTCGGCACAATGGCCTCGGGCGACATGTCTGGCGGTGCCAGCTTCTCCGACCCTTCGAGGTCGATGCAGCTTCCCGCAGCGTCTTCGTCGTCGCTAGCCACGTCTTCGACGGCCGCGGCGTGGCAGCAATCGTCGCTGCACCGCACGTCGTACAACAGCCTCGGCTCGTCGTCGCAGAGCGGCTACGCAAGCTCCGACGCCGGAGGCATGATGCTGCCGTCCTCTACGGCGTTCGCCTACGACTCGTCGTCGGAGAACAACAGCCCCATCCGGCCTCCCGGGTACTACGACGCCTCCTCGGCCGCCGGTCACGTATCGTACGCCGGTCCGCACTCGTACGCCAGCGCCTACGGCAGCAAGGGTCTCGAGCAGGCCTACGGTGGCGGCCACCCTTCCGAAGTGTCGATCACCGACATCGACAACGCGCTGTCGCAGATCTCGACGCTGTACAAGTCGGCCACCACCAAGAAGAACGCCGAATTCTACCGAGACAAGTGGGCCCGCATCTGGTGAGTTGTGTGCACAGCTGTGGTGGATCCTGAAGCGGCGCGTCGAGGCGATGGCAGTATTGCGTGCGACAGACTGCTGACGTCGCCCTCATCTCCTTTCCCTTCTCGCCCGCCCGTCACTCTCGCCAGGCTGAGCTGCAACTACACGCTCAAGGCCTCGATTCAGATCTCGATTCCGAGGACCATCCTGCACGAGTCGTACCGCAGGGCGTGCGAGTCGTTCGGCGTCGAGCCGCTGCAGGCGGCCTCGTTTGGTAAGGTGCTGCGCGGCCAGTTCCCCGACGTTGCCCAGCGCAGGCTCGGCGGACGCGGCAAGACGCGGTTCCACTACTGCGGCTTCGGCACCTCGAACCAGCGCGAGGCCATCAAGGTCAAGCAGCTGCTCGACGACGAAAAGGCCGGACGCCTCCAGCTGAGCGTCGGCATGAGCGCCGAGTTCGCGCAGCAGCACGAGGGTAGGACCAGGTCGATCACCTCGGGCGGCGAAGACCTTTCGCGCAGCTACGCGTCGCTCGACCCCTCGGGAGACGGCCGCCACCTCCACTTTGCCAATGCCGCCGGACACTACGGCGGGCAGTCGACGAGCGGCTCGCTCGAGTCGCAGGACGACAAGGTGGCGGCCTCGGCGTTTGCCACGCTCAACGCATCGGCCTCGGGAGCGCAGGCGGGCACCGCCGCGTCCCACATGCCACGCAGGCATACGCTCTCCAGCTCGGACGCCAACCGAGTCATGTTCGGCGGCAGCCTGCCCAGTCTTGGCGCCGGCGCTGGCAGCACCGTCGGGACCAGCGCAGACGGCAGCTTCGAAGCCGCCAAGGGCGAGCTTGCTGCCAGCGGCGTCGCGGCCAGCTCGTCGAGCGTCGGCGGCGGCTTGCTCCACCACCACGGCCGCCTGGATCGCGCCGGCGGCGGCGACAGCTCCGGACTGCCCTCGGTCAACAACAGCCCGTCGCTGTCCATGTCCGGCCGGCTGAGCCGCCCGCAGAGCGTGGCGCACTTTCGACGGTCGTGCAGGGACCTACCAGACTGGCCCAACCCGGACGAAGGCGACTCGACGCTCAACGCCGCCTCGTTCCACCTGTCGATGAAGGGCAAGATCGCCTGGAAGGAGTACGAGTCGATGTGCCAGGATCTACTCCATTCCATCTACCAGGGGCCCGACATGGCGGCTTTCGACCGGAGAGCCACGGCCTTCTGGAGCGCCCTGAGCCAGGACAGTCAAGAGGCTATGCGGACCGAGCCGACTCTGTGCGAGCTCATCCTGCGCGGCGACGCCATCATTGTCCGGCAGCTGCTGGTGCGCCTCGACGACATGATTGGCGACGACGTCTCCGACGAGCGCACCGCGAGCCTCAGCGGGACGGCGATGAGCATGTCGAGCCGGCTGCAGAACCTGCTCGAGGGCAGGCTGCCGGCGTCGTTTGTCAAGTCCAAGGTGCAGGCGTGCGAGAAGCTCACCGAAAACCTCGAGCGGGTGGCGAGGATCTTTGAGTCGATCAAGCAGTTCCGCGAGAACTCGATGCTCGACCTCACATCCGGCCGGCGCTACCCGGACTCGCACCCCCTCGGCCCGCCGTCGTTCCCCTCGACGTCGTCTTCGCACGCCGACATCCTCGGCCCGCACCAGGCGCCGTACGGCGGACCACCGAGCAAGGCCTCATTCAACTTCCAAGGAGGCGCGCGGCGGCGCGACGACAGCATCGGCAGCAGCGTCTCGGACTCGCACTACACCTGGCTCAGCGGGGACCACCAGTACAGCAGCTCTGCGTCCGAGAGCGACTTTTCGCTCCACTCTGCGCCGACGGCCGACACGGGCCACGGCGGCAACAGCGGCGTGTTTGGCAGCATGGCAGCGCCGGTGGCGCGCAAGTGGTCGGGCCATCGGATGCGCATGTCGTCTGGACCGCTGTCGAGGTCGACTGGCACTTCCGAGGTCAGCGGGCCCGTCAGCAGCTCGCTGAGCGGCATGGCGCTC